TCCTCCTCCTCCTCCTCCTCCTCCTCTTCTTCTTCTTCTTCTTTAAATTGTGCATCTGAACACAGAAAAAATACATTGATCAGTACCGCCTTTTAGCCAAAACGCGCGCTACTGCTACACAGAAGTACATATAAAAAATACATTGATCATCAACGATCTTTTTGTATAGAATCTAAATCGTCAATAGGAATCTACCACCGATTTAAGAACCGGCGAAGACTCCTATTGCAGCCACAGATCCTACACATAGAGTTCAATGAAGACCAAATGCTTGGGATGGTTTGAGAAGTAACATACTTAAGGTGGTCAAATTCTTGTTAGGGGAGCGAGGTGGGACTAAAAATAGCGTCTGCCACAACCTATTTAGTACCGGTTCGTGACACGAACCGGTACTAAAGATTCCCAAACAACCGGTACTAAAGGTCACCTCCCGCCAAGTCATTTGAACCGGCACTAATGGGAGCATTAGTGCCGGCTCATATGCCAACCGGTACTAATGTTTCACATATTAGGTCCTTTTTCTACTAGTGACTCATTGATCGAAGGCAGAAATCTGGGCAAAGAGCTCATCCACGGTGATGGAAGTTTTGACAGCACCAATGGCCGCCACAACCGGATCATAATCTCGGTCTAGACCTGCAAGCACATAATCCACCATCTCGGGATCAGAAACCGAACGACCTGCTGCTGCAAGTTCGTCCCCGAGGTTCTTCATCTTGGCGATGTAGGTGCTGCTGGACATGGCGCCCTTCTTCGTGGTGGTGATGGCGATCCGCAGGTTCGTGATTCTGGACTGGGACTGCGATGCAAAAATTGTGGTGATTGCAGTCCATAGATCGAAGGTATTTTCCTTCCCAATAACTTGAGCAAGGATCTCCTTGGAGAGTGAATTCAGCAGTTAACTTAGGACCTGCTGATCCTTCGACAGCCACGGCGCGTAGAAAGGATTTGGTACTGCAACCGTGGTCTTGTCCGACTGCTACTGCTCCACCGTGGTTGGGGGCACTGCGTCGGTTCCATCTAGAAGCCCTGTGACCCTCGCTCCTCGCAGGCCGGGCATCGCCTGAGCTTTCCACAAGAGGTAATTCCCCCTTGCCAATTTCTCGGACGGAGGAGAACCGAGGTTGAGGACGACCGTGGTCGAGGTGGAAGACATGGTGATGGAAGAAGTTTTTTTTGGAAGCTAGATTGGGAAGAGGATGGCTCTGTATACCATGTAAAGTTGGAAGCGTTCCTACTCCCAGACGGAGCTGCGTGCTGTATATTTATTGATGACGAGAAGCCCTCGTCGTGGCGTACAAGCAAGGCGTCGATCGATTCTTGATCTGATCAGGCTAGGCAAGAGTTTTAAAGAGATACAGAAGGAGGTTGAGATTACATGGAGTATTAATAGAGTACAGAACCAATACGTCTAACAATGTGTGTGTTTTTAAGAATTCCATGGCAATGAATGTTTATCTAGTGGCAGTATATATCTTTATGGAATCCATTTAGTGAAGTACGAACCCCCATTATGTACTTCAATTTTCAGGAATTGCTATGTAAGTCCAGAGATGAGTTGTCAAGTGCAATCAAGAAATGAAAGATTGATATGACCATAGAACATGAAAGTACTATAATGTGCGGCTTCATTAGAGGTGTGGGATCGATGTTTCATCACCTATTGACTATGTTAATTTCTATAACCAGTTAGTTCATCACTAGCAACTTGAAAGTGATGAAGATCCGGTCGCAAGAGACCAACTGTAAAAGCTGATATTCGATCTAAATGGTTTCATTGACAAATTTTGGCGGGGAACTAAAACTCATTGACGATGACAAGTTTGGAACTGACTTTCATCCATGTATATATGGCGCTCTCCATGTTTGGAAGAATCAAAGGGAACATGAACGCAGGCATGGTTCGTACAGGAACAAAGTTGTTTGAAAGAGGATACCAAATGGACTGCCGCGTGGAAAGACTAGGAAGGCCAATGCCAATCTCTAATTTTGTGGATAATAAGATACTACAAACCTGGTGCTCTTTCAAACAGGAATTAGTCCAGAGCACAAACAAAGTACACATAAGTGGACGAAACGAAAAGTTACACCAACCCATGGCATGCTGATGCTCGACATGCTAGCATTTATTCATCCATTACTTAAAACTTATTCATGAGCGTGCATGCATGGGGCACGCATACATTCCTTCGCGCCTGCATAGCTAGAGCTAGCCTGTGAAGGGTGTGTCGGCGACGATATCGACGAAGATGCGCACGCGGTTGGGCCTCAAGTCCCGGGTCACCGGTGACCCAGCTGGCAGCACGACAATGTCGGCGTCGGGCTTGTCTTTGAGTATGATCTCCCTGGCCTCCTTTATGGACTTGCCCACCACCTCTGGCCATGACTTCTGCCACGACTCGCCGGCGAGGTCTCCCGTGCCAACTGGAACCTCCATGGAGCTCATCGTCGATGGACCAGCCTACAAATCAGTTTTCCAAAAGCGAGAAATAGGTCAGTCTTAGAGAGAAAGTAGCACCAAAACTGAAACTAATTCATCCATAGCAAGATGCGTTTCTAATTAAGCAAAATACGCTAGCTAGCTAAAGATTGATCGACAAAATTCAGATGGGATACGTATTTGTGATCCGACTCACCGGCTAAGTGGACCTCAAGAAGCTTGTTTCTTAATCTTCTGAGCCTGGTTGCTAACTTGGTGCTGCATAAACACATTGCAATTGCATGGATGGGTACTTATAGGGGAGATCGATATAAGCGGCACTGTGTTATGTGCAGAGAAGATGCATGTACCCAGGGGAAGGCGCGTGATACACGAGATAAGATGCTGATTGGCCGGACTAGATTTCGTGATGGATAACACGTACGGATGCTAAGGAAGACGACAGCATACCACGTGATTCACAGGTCCATCGACTTGTAGCTAGGAGCTCAATGAACCATAGCCGTTTTCCGGTGCTGTAGTGCTCCTCAACTTAGTTAACTATAACTAGTATAAATGCCACACAATAAGTTGATGCTATATCATCAACTTCTCCTTGCATGTCTAGAACATTCAATCAGTACTTCTGGTGAGTGTGTGCCCGGTCGATTTTTTTTGCTCACCCATTTTCCCTCATGGTTTATAACATGCTTACCGCTTTATTTCTCTTGATCCAATAGTTCATTGAAGAACATGAGTTCCATGGAGGGAAGCACTGGGAAGTTTCCAGAACCTGCAGGAGGGGGCACCGGAGCCAGCAGTGTGAAGACGTCGTGGCCAGAGGTCGTCGGGATGTCTGTTGAGAAGGCCAAGGAGATCATACTCAGGGACAAGCCTGATGCTGAGATAGAGGTCCTGCCAGTCGATGCGTGGGTGACCCAGGACTTAAGGCCCGACCGTGTCCAAATCTTCGTCGCTGTTGCCGACACCCCTACGGTTGGTTAGCTAGCTTATCAGGCATGAATCATTCATAATTATGTAACAGAGAATAAAGATATCTGGCGCATCGGGGATGTACTTTCTCTTAGATAATCATTTAAATGAAGGAATAAAGGCATACTGGGCATGAGCGAATCATGCCCAAGTTCAGGCTTCAGTGTATTCATCCATGACTTGTTGGGCGGTGCTAGTATTTCACGTTGCGAGTTTTTCTTTTTGACAGGAATTTCAAGTTGTGAGTTGGCACGCTAAACCTTAGGATAATAATTATTTGGAACTAAGCACAAATTGGTCAGTACTTACAGTAACTGAAAGTTATGTGCCACCCTAAATCTCAAGCAAGAGCAAAATCGTAAATATATGACACTAGTAGAAACCCTAGTATTATCATCGGTACTCAAAGAACCATAACCGCTTTATCGGCTGCACAAATAATGACTTATATCACTTTCACGTGAACTTTAAACTACCTGTAACTTTAATGTGATAGGCATGCAGCAAAGGGGCGCGACTCTTTTTGTTCCAAACATTGACAAATGTTTTGATTGCTTGCAAAGTTTTATTATCGAATGGCATTCGTGAAAAATGTGGCAAAAAAATATCAGGCGCTCCAAAATGCTGCCATGTCCTTTGTATGCTGCCAATTATGTTTTCCTTAATTATTTTTCTGAGTTCCTGAACATATCATCGCTAAATTTCTTGAGGAGTTGCAGTGGGCTTCCAACTAGGTAGAACTCTTCAAGTTGAAAAAAGATCAAGTATGCTTCCTTCAAGCTGAAAAAACAAACAACCTTCACCAAACCATATAGTTTATGACATACACCGTTTCAATTGGATTGGCTAGGTATAAGAATCCATAACATGGCTGAAAATTATTTCCTTTTTGTACATGATGCCAGATGGGGCGAACACAATGGCCAATGGTTCCAAAGTGGTCCCTACCATTGCAGAGGAGGAGCCCACTTCTAGTCGATGTTGTCTCTAATGATGATGGTGTCGTGGCGTGTCGATTGAATAGGCTTCATCCGAGATGACGATCTTCATGGAGAGGATGTTGGCCAAGCCTTCTTTCCCCGGCTCGTCTTTGTATTTGAAAAAAGTTCACGTATTAAAACAAATTAAGTTGTTGACACATTTCTGGATATACATTTGTGTACTTTGGAAATAAGGTTTAAGTAGTTACAAAAAAGAAAGTAAAAACAATACCATAGCAAAAATGTTTAAAAAGTGAAACTAAAAGTAGGAGAATAGGAAAAGAAAAACCAACGGAAAGAGACAAGATAAAGAAAGGAAAAAAAGAGAAAACAAAACAAAACAACAGCGGACACGGTCGCAGTCCATGTAAGAACTCTAGAAGCGTTTGGGTGACATTTTATAGCTGAAGTCATTAAGATAGGTTTTTCCGGTCACATGTATGAATCCGGTCGAAGAGGACACCAAATGGACTGCATCTGCGCATGCCACTCTAATTTTGAGGACGACGTTGAGTTAATCAAATACTTCGATATAGCACTCTCTCATCAAACTAAAAGTACAATGCAAAAACATACACATAAGTAGAGATCCATGCCATGGTAGCTAGTGCTCGACATGCCTGTATTTATTCATTCATTGGTAAAAATGTATTCACGAACATGCATTGTGCAGGCATACATTCCTTTGGGCTTGCAAAGCTGCCTAGCCAGTGAAGGGTGTTTCGGCGACGGTGTCAACAAAGAAGCGCACATGTTTGGGCCTCAAGTCCAGGGCGACCGGTGCCCTTGCTGGGAGAACGACGATAACATCGTCAGGCTTGTTCTTGTGAATGATCTTCCTGGCCTCCTTGATGGACTTCCCCACCACCTCCGGCCACGACTTCGACTCCTCAATGAAGAGGCCTCCAGGGGTGGTGTTGTCCGTGGAGCTCATCGTTGATCTAGCACGCTACAAAACAATACACTGAGCTACCAATAGCAAGTTGTGTTTCTAATTAAGCAAAATTTACCAATGCTAACTAGGTAAAGATCGATAGTCAAGGGCTAGACGGGATACTCAAACTGTTGCTAAATGAACCTCGAGCTTGTTAATTGATCGTGGCTTGGTTGATATCGGCATATAACTTACTACAAGTACTAATAAGTTATACGTGCATAGCACGTCAGAGCTCATATAATCAAATTACCACCCAAGATAGACATATTTGTTTTTATATTAATTATAACATGGAAATGGAATTGTGCGGCATATACATGACATATAAGATGCAAAAGCACGTAAAAATATATCGAGCGTGTTTTGTCTAGGTATCTATTCTGGCTATATAAAGCTATTGTTCTATCTACAAAGATAAGTCTCTCCCTACTAATAAACCACCGATTGCTTCTGGTCGTACGTCGCGGCAGGTTTGCAAAAAAGTCCCCGTATTTTTCAGTATTCAACCCGCAGTCCTTTTGTAAGTGAGAAAACGTTTCGATCAGGAATTTTGCAAATAAATCCCTACAGTATATGGTATTAAATCCGCGGTCCTTAAAGTGAGAAAAAAAGAAACCCATCGGGATCTCCTCTCTCTCCCTCGCCTCAGCCGCCAGGAGCGGCGGTCGATCCGGTGCCGCGCCGGCCGCGGGCCGCCGGCCGGTGCCGGCGAGCGTCCGCGCCTTCGGAGTCTTCCTCTGCGCCTTTCTGCATGGGGACGCGTTCGGAGGAGCTCGCTGCCAGGTTGGCGGCCGGGGGCCCCGGCGGCGTCGGCGGACCAGCAGGAGGAGGATGCGGGGAGGGGCAGCACGAGCGGGTGGTCGCGCTCCGCGAGATCAAGAACCAGACCTTCGAGAACCAGACCAAGAAGCTCCTCTACCTCCGCCTGGGTGCCGTGTTAGCGGTCGTCACGGCGCGTCACCAGCCATGCTCGTCCATGAGCGGCCGCGGCGCAGTACTTTGCTTGCGGGGTAGACGATGGCGCGCATGCCGTGCTTGCTGCTGGAGCCGTGGGGCACCTCCTCGCCCACCCCGACAACAAGGTCAGCTTCCTTCAATTGCTTGTTTCCTTAATTTCGTGTATGCTTGCTCGGTTTGGGGATTTGTTGATCAATTGGGAGAATATTTGTTGCGTGCAGAAGAGCTGGTGGGAGGAAATGGGTGGCTACCCAGCAACTGCTTGCTTGCTGGTTGCGCCAATTTGGGGCTTGCTAGCAATTGTGCTTGTCCCTGAACTATAGACCAAAAAGAGACAATGCTAACTTAATGAATGTTTTGTGTGGGAATTAGTCTGTACATTAGCCACAACTGGATCCAGATTGAGGTTGGCGGTCGATACCAACGCCGTCCTGGATGGCGTGCTCGAGATCGAAGGCGGGGAACTCCAGAAGGCAGACGGCGGCATTGCCTCAGTTGTAGCTGCATGGGGAAGAGGAGGGGTGGAGGAGTAGACGCTGCATCTCCATCCGCCGTGATGGGAGTGATGGCGCCGGCGCTCGCCGTGTCCGCCGTCAGCTCCATCTTGACGATGTTATCCTCGATTGGAAGTTCGAGCGCCCTCACAACAGGACTTACTCCACCCCTTCTCCCTCCCCGTTCCCTTCCCCTGGGGGTTAATTGAAGTATTTATATTTCCGTATTAGTGTGGTTCAACTAGCTATTGGGCATATGGTGTCTTTTCTGAATTTTGGTCTCAAAGATGATTTTGTGAGTTCAAGCTTTTGTGCGATTCCTGATGTTGTGTTCCTGCCAAATGACATATGTCCTGCACTGAATTTTTCTGACGCTATAATCATGGCAGGAGCTTTGTACTGGGAAAGCATGTCAGAATTATCTAGAATTGATGGACTTTAGTTGGTGTTTGTTTGCTGGATGGAATTAGATTTGTGGATATATCAGTTTATGGGTGGCTACTTGATTGGTGAATTCACCTGCTATATGAACACTATTTTTAATAAATGGTGTGCATCTAGAGATGTATAAGAACAAGTTTGAGGATAAAGATTCATATAAAGAATTATGTAAAAAATTGTGATTCTTAATATCTTGAGAACTAGCATATATTTTTTCCACTACATTAGCCTTCAGATTTTTCTTGGATTTGCTTTCTGCACTAATGTTTTCAGTACCATCCTTCTTCCGCGATGCTGCTGCATGCCAGGATTCGCAGTGGCACCGCCGCAGCCAGCGAGGACACAAGCTCACGAGGATTGTTGCCGCTTCGGAGGACATGGGAGCTGCCATAGCCAGCGAGTACGTGAGCGCACGTAGGCACCATCGCTTTCGAGGATGCGAGAGCCATCTCAGCTTGAGAGAATGCGCATACCATCTCCAGGTATATAGCAGTAACATCTCTCCCTAACTCCACTCCGATATGTAACATTTTTTTCTCTCCTATTGTGAGATTGCAGTGTGTGCAACAAGTGTTCCTCTAAACGTCTGAGCGTAAAGACTACTCATGGGTGATGCTTCTGTGACCAGACCTCTACGTATGTCCTTTGCGGCCTTTCCTATAAATAAATTATAAGTATATGTCATTGCCATATTAATTGTGTACTTCTCTATTAGAAAATCACAAGATAGTTTCAGTGTTGTTGTTCTCAATCATGTTACCCTTAAGTGCAAGACATCAATTTGCTCTTAAGTAAAAGGGAAATTTGAGCAGGAAAGGTAAGCAATTCGAAGCAAGCTCCCGAGATAAATTTTCTTTTGGTTTAGCTAACGAATGCCTTGGTATAGGTCTAATCTCTCCTTCCTAGAGATGGTTCTTTCTTATTTCTTTTACGGGGACTTACTTTTGTTTCTTTAATTAGGATACCTTCACCTGGTATTTTTTGTTTTAATTAATGAATATAGATCAGTTGCATTGTTTTGTCTCAACCAAGCTAGCCGTATAGTAGAAATTCAGCATGCACACAAGGTGATCTGGTTGAGTTTTACTAGGTAACCGTACCATTGTTGTCTGCATGCTGAAAAGCTTATGGGTATGTACTGAAACTAAATTATACTCCCTCCGTCCGGAAATACTTGTCATTGAAATAGATGTATCTAGATGTATTTTAGTTCTAGATACATCTATTTTCATCCATTCTGATGACAAGTATTTCCGGACGGAGGGAGTAGTTGTTAAGGATTATTTGCAGACAGGTCAAGACCGGAAGATGTCATCATTATCCCTAAACTGAGATGTCTTCAGGATTGGAAATGTCACGAAGGCCCCCGTACAATTATAGGTACCAACATATAAAAATCCAAGAATTTCCCGCTAAGAGACACTCGACATGCAAATTTAAATCATGCTAGAATTCGTCAAATACCATGTTTAACCTGAATTAGTTACTTGACATGTGCCTATCTTCTTCTTTTTCCAAATTATGTGTTCAATTGTTCATCATATTATTGATGGAATTAATTTTGCATCGATTGTTTGCACCACTTGATAATTACAACGAAAGTTATGGATGTCCAATCTGGCTGGTTGTTTGTCTACTACTAAAGCTTGTACATATTTGCTTAAATTTGAATACATGTCAAAAAAATCTCCCGTTGCCACACACACATCCGTGGCAATTGTTGAAAGCTCTGAATGCTTCACTCTTTGTTCTGATGCTTAGGGATATTGGGTAGAATCCAGTGTCACTCATGATCCTGGTTTAATAGAGGAACTGAATTGATCATGATTTTGAATGTCAAATGTCACACAGGGAAGGGCCTGAACATGAACTTACTTGGTAATGCCCATTTGTGTAGATCGGTAGCCTGTGGCATCTATTTTGTCCAATCGTCCGCCACGAACAAATTTTCTTTGTTGGGTGCTGGTGGTTCTACTTCCAATGTTTTTGTAGGACATTGCTCGGTTAGTAATGACTTTGAATGTAAAGCGTGCTATGAAGTACATGATGCGCTGTGTAGTTCCCTCAATTACGTGAAGAAGAAGAATGGCAGCAAAGACTTATGGTATGATACCTTAATATATTTGATTGTCTTGATACCGTGTTTCCTTTCTTTTTCATATAGGAATTACACTAGGTTATTTTTACTATGAAACACGAATTCCACTGTTATCAGGGGGTTTGAAACCTAAGGCAGAGTCACTGTTTTCTCTCTCCAGGGTCAATTTTGTTTTTCTCGCTTTAGAATATTTTCTAACCATGTATCTAAAACTTGCAATATGCTACTTACTAACTATGGCCTTGCATAGGATGGAAGATACACTCATCGTCACACATATGTTTTCACTCATCGTCAAGCATTGCACTCCCAATGTCCATATATTGTTCAATTACCACTGATGTCGACCTAGGTTATAAACCAAAATAAGACAATCCTTAGCATGGTTTTCCAAGCTATGTCGCTCTTTGAGACATGCTTGATAATTACAAAAACATTGGAAGTTGAAAAATGTTTATCCTTAAAGACTTTATTTTATAAGTTTATTTGTCACAATCAAATATATGCCTCTATATTTGTTCAGATTCCTGCAATATGCTATATTGAAAATTGATTTGTTAAATTTGCATGGCCAGATGGTCATATGGATAGAAGTATTAGCATAAAAAAACCCAGATATTCCACAAATGAAGGGCCTTCTTTAACTGAATTGAGTGTACACAATGCAAAGCCTTCGCCCAAGAGTATGACAATGATGCTGAACAAGCCCTCAAACCTATGGCATTTAAATAAACTGATCGTGAACTGAAGCTATGTGAACGATGGGATATTTCTGTTCGTAGTAATAAAAATATTATTGCAGTAACTTACATAGAGAGAGAGAGGACATGACGAACGTTAAGCGTTTTGTAGTTGGGGGAGGGGCGGATCTGAAGCCATGCTTAGGGCGTGTGCTATTTGTTTTCCCGTTGCAACGCACGGGCAATTTTCCTAGTATGATTTATGAAAGTACTTAGCCTTGAATACAGAGTAGATGCATATTTATATGGGAGATTGGTAGATGCGGC